CACCAGATTTTATTCAATTTAACTCACAAATGGCTTATTTCTTTCTTTCTTTCCTTATTATTTTTCATTTCAGTTTAGGAAACTTAAATACATGTAGCACTTGGTTGGATGACTATATTACATGTACACGGCAGTACTTAAGAAACATGAAGAAAACTGAAACAGATAAATGGAAATAAATATTGCGACAATCAGGAATCTCAAAACGTGCTGCAGGCATCATGTTATCGTAGTTTGTAACAGTTTAAAGATGTACCGGTACAGTACTTTGACATCTTTTGATTGCTTGACATGTGACCGGTGCATGTTAATGATATTGTACTGTACAGTGTACATGTACATCATGAGATATACACTTGTTACAACGTTACTGATTCGTAGCAGTACCGTACAATATTTGTCACACAGTTGCTACATACTCATGTACATGTACATGTACATGGAGAATGACTTCAAATAAACCTTTTGCGACATTTTATATTCAAATAAAATCTGTTACACTGAGTTACCGTACACATACAGTATATCTGAGTGCACATAAACATGAAAATTTGAATTCCCCAGACTAAAGACACTGTTGCCATACCTCGTGATTTGGGGCAAGCTTTTGCATAGCCACCACCATCTTTGGAATGGACTGGTTCCTTTGTGCCCTTCTTATCTGTTGAAAACAGCGTATTGGTGCAGGGAATCTCTTACTGTACATGTATGTACAGTACATGCACACGTAACTGAGCAAAAGCTTGCCCTGAATCACGAGGTATAACAACAGTGTCTTTAGTATGAACATTTCAAATAATTATGTTCACTAGAATTCAAAGAACACTAGAATTCAAAGAACTCATTGTACCAGATTTTATTCAAACTTACTGTAACTCGCAAAAGGCTTTGTAGAGGAAGTTATTTGCTAAGTGCTTCCGGTATTGTATCTTGTACCTGCTCGCTTATTTCATATCATCTCTAAAGGGATGTAAATGTGTGTATGTAAAGAACAATCTAAGAGTTTCTTGATTTTTTAAAAGTGCTGGAAAGTTGTGGACATGATGTGAACTTGATGTTTGCCAAACAGTACTCAATAAAGCAAGAAATCCCCCTGAAACTGAGTTGGAATCAAGTCTATGTACATACATAATTGTATGCACAGGACAACATGCAGGATGTACAGTATACATTTCACTCTATTCAAAAGTTCAGAAAGGTTTTTTAAGAAAATCTAGGAAGGAAATGGTCTAATGTAAAAAAAGAAATAATAGCCACAACGAAACAGATTGACAAAATCCTTCATTTAGTCATACACCAATGGTACAGACATGTATCAGTATGTTGTCATAGAAATTTGATCCCAAATGGCACTGAAATGTCATGCACCGTAACATGGGGTAGTTTGCTGTGCTGGTATCAGCTAAAGCCTAATTTTCCTCAGTTTTACGTTATTTTTCAAATTGAATTTGTGCAAAAACTGTTTTAGGAAGCAACATTTTAACCTGAACAGTTCTCAATCCTCTCAGTGATTGAATAATTTACATACATGATGTGCACTAACATTAACATTAGCGTGTGTCTTTTCCTGTGTAGAGTTACAGCTCAAGAGCCACCATATCCCATTCAAGCTGTGTAGGAAGTGGCATGATCTTTTGGACAAGTTTACCACAGCCAAAGAAGAACAGAAAGCTAATGGTAATTATTTGTATACACTGCGTGCATTTATGCAACATGTACATGTATGTACGGGTGTACATGTACGTGCATGTACATTTGTACATGTACGTGTACAGTGCATAAATGTCAGCTGCATAGAAATTTCCTAGATGATCTGTCAACAACAGGGGTTGAACTTTTGTGTAACAGTTGAATAAATTTAAATTACATGTAGCTCAAGTTGAATTCATTATAGATGTGTATACATGAAGATACATGTATCCAGGGCATGCAGTCAACTGGTGTACGATACCATTTTGTGTCAGGTACAGTAGCTGACGAGTAGATGGGTAACATTCTTTTCAGTTCAGATTGCTGGATTTCACTCGTTTTACATTGTTTTATTTTTCATGTTGTTGCAGATGAACCAATGCTTTACTTCCAAAGAAATGTCTTCTTTCCCAAAGCCAAAGAAGCCCAGGTACATGTACATTGCTTATTAACAGAAAATCTACTGTACATGTACTGTACAAGGAACGTCTAAATTCATTAAGCTATTTGAAGCTTTTTTTTAAATTGAGGAATAGCTGCATTGCTAAGATTTAGAATCACCAATGAAATTCCAGTAATCAAATTCAATGCCCTTTACCTTTAGAAAATTATAAGATTGGTCATGAAGGTGCAGTGGCTCTGCTCAGAAAAAAAAAAAAATAAGAAATTACCGTAATTTGGAGTCTCTGTCCTTTGATGGCAGAAGTTTGAATACGCGCTCCATGTATAACTGCAGCCAAATCTGAGAAAAATGACTGATATCTCTCATCAGTCTTGGTTTGTTCTCACCAGATAACGGACCAAAAGGTGTTGCGACTTCTTTACGAAGAGGCGAAATGTAACATCTTACAAGGCAACTACCCCTGTGAGCCAGAGGATTTTGAATATCTTGCTGGGATCATAGCCTATGCTGAAAATGGAAAATATGACCCTGATCAACATCCTGCAGGTTTTTTGAAGTAAGAACCGTCTTCTCATCGTTTAAACCCAACACTCCTGAATCTTCCAGTTTGATATAAACTTTTTATTCACATCAGGGGATTCAATATGAATTATGCAGTATTGCGTTCAAACTTTTATGTCTGTTGATTTATAGTGAAGGAAGAAACTGATGACCAATTTTGATTTTGATTGGCTAAGGCGCATTTTTCCAGCCATTGGGGTCTGTGTTACATGTGTTTTCCAGCTCCTGAAATGAGGCAGTTATTTAAAACAAAGAAAAGAAAAAACTGGCAACTGGCATTCAAAAACAAAGCACGTGATGTCATACCAGTCTGAGCACGTTCAGTGCATGTGAGTGCACATGACTGACCATTGATGGTTTGTTTTGAGCATGCACTGTTGAAATATGGTCAATTTAGGCACAAATTTGTGTAATGCTATAAGCAGTGAGTTTCTCTCGCACTGTTTACATTTCAGTATGTATGCTGCATTGTTGTTCATGTTGAATATAATGACAACTTGTCAATGTGCAAAATGTAACTAATGTTAAGGTTTCTCATTACTTGCAGGACACCCAAGCCTGTGTCTGATAATGCATCGTCGTCTTCCATTGGCTCTCAAACCAACCAAGTTCAGAATCTGTAAGCCCCTTCAGATTCTTGGTAAAATGACCTAAAGCAAGGCTGTCCTGAGCCACGGTGGCCTAGTTCTGATCAGGCCAGTGTTTATCTGTGGCTTCTTTGACATGACACAACTGGGAATATTTCTGTTTCCTGGATGGGATACCAGTCCATCACAAATTGCTCCCCAGCGAATGCTGGTACCCATTTATAATCATTGGTGGATGGAGGCAAGCGGGGGTTATGGTCAGCTGGATTCGAACCTCTACCCCTTGAAAAAAAAAAAATCCCCCAAACCCCCCTGACCTTGGAGCAAATTGTTTTATAACTTTCATTTTCATGCCAGTCTTTCCAACGTCCCTTCAAACTATTCAAATCAAGCTTAAATTTGTACTGGAATTTGTTTTACAGTTGCCACAATGAAATTGAGGTTTTCTCGTTATCACTAGAAGCCCCCCTTCTTCTGCCAACACGTGAAATTTGTGACTTTGTAACAACACATTTGAGGCTGTTTTGCTGACCACCTTTTTTTGTCGCTCTTTGCAGTGATTCCTTACACAGATACCTTCCAGCTTGTATGTGCAAAGGCGGGTCAAGATGGATCAAAAACAAAGGTAAGAGGATCATTGTATGTGACCTACATGTACAGTACATGTCTGAAGTCAACAACTGCCCAGTGTTCTTTGTAAGAATCTGTTCTATTTACAGGTTTGATGTGCTGGTGCACGGCTTGAACAGAAATGTCAAAATCAAGCTACCGGAAGTGTGTGCAGGCATGCCAGCTTGGTTTAGGATGGCAGGTCACATACATGAACTTGAGATCTGCCTCAGGCTTGTGTGCCCAGCAAAATCTGCAATGACTTACACACTAATTAATACAATGACAGTGAATGACTTACCGGTACACAGTCCTCCAACAGGTGAAGGATTGAGGACTGTTAGGGTTAATGTTCTCGACAGTCCGTGCTTTTTTTCAAGTGAAAGTACAAGTTAATTCTTACATGATGTAATCTGTATGCCCTCAGACACACACATGTATTTTGTGTATTTGCCTTTTTTTTAAAAAAAGGAATCTTAATATTTGAAGAATCACATCTGTAAATGAAATCCACTTTGCACGTTTGTGTGAGCTATAGCAGGACAGATAACAAGATAACAAGACAAAATTATCTCACCCGCAGGCAGGAATTTTTCTACAACTACCAGTAGATTTATTTGGCTGCTGAACTTTCCATGACACGGATGCAGCTAAGTTTGGTTGTGTTGGAATGTCAGGCATCCAGAGCTGATGACCTTTTAAAGATGAAACTGATGATACCTAGTAACTGAGAAATTGATACATGTAAAATCGTGCATGAGAAATGTTACCAGCAAGTCACTGTCCATCAACCTGCTGACTAGTCCCTGGTTTGTGAACAATTACTCTCAAGCCTGTTTCCAGTTCATGTGAATATAGACAACATCATAACATTAACCCTAACACTCCTCAGTCCTCCAACAGGTGAAGGATTGAGGAGGGTTAGGGTTAAAGCCCTGTTGTTTGTTTTTCTTCTCGTCTGGTTTGATGTACATGTAGATACATTTTTTTGGGGGTCTTCTTTTATGAGAGTCTTTTGTTGAAACGTCGTCGTGAAAGAAAACGGGCAGGTTTTTTTACTTGCTGTGGCACTGTTGTAGTCGAGACCAGAAAGACCGTCACAAGACCACGCAAGACCCTAGTCTGAATTCAAGTCACAAGCAATTCAATTGAACTGCAACAAAAGCATTCCTTTGTCAAAGTTCACATTGTTTCTTGTGTCTGGTCTTGTGCATGGTCTCGTCTACAACACTGGCATTGTGCTATATGCTGTGGTATCTGTAAAGAAGAATGATGATGAAAACCACAAAGTGGGAGAATGACATTGCCACCAAATACTGCATATAAATATATCTGTCATTGCAGGAGGTTTTCCTTTGCTGGAACAGAGAGTAATGGCAGCTTGGGATGACATCTCAGGGAAAGTCAGGAGCAAAAGAGAGTGTCATCAACACTTACTCGACTTCTGCTGGAAACTTCCATTTTACGGGTAGGTTTAAAAGACAGTATTTACTTCTTCTTTGTTTAAATTTCTTCCAGAAACCTTCACAAGCAGGGAAGCAGTTATTTGGGAGGGCGTAAAGAACCTGACTCAGAAGTTGTTGTCCGGAGGAAAATTGGCATGTTGCCTCTTATCAGGAATAAAAAAAAGACAAAGGTGAATGGCACAGGCCGGCTGGTTGGGAATTGAGATGCCCTGGTGTCATCAATCAATCCAAATTGACCTCCTACCTCAAGAATTATGTGTTGGCTGTTAACAACAAAGCTGTAGTCATTGGTAGTTGACCCGCAATCTTCCCTGCAATGGCCGTACATGTAATTGGTCTTTGAAAGGAATGTTCAATTTGATGGGTGTGGTTAGGATGAGAACCACAGGAGGGGTGGATGTGAGGGATGGAGTCATCACGAGAATCTCTTGGAAGGTAGACGACAGGTATTGGTGTTTTGGAAGAATTGATTCGTTGGTAGTTGTTACTGACAAGAGTGTTGATTGTTGGGTTTGACTGGCAGTGTAAGGAGGTGAACGGAGGCGAATGGTGGGGAGGAATCCCAGGTCAGTGCAGTGAATCGGTGTCAGCCAGGGCAATTGGCCAAGGATATTGAGAGGAATGGTTGGGATGAATATCAGAATTTGTCTTCAGCATGTCTTCAAAATTATGCAGGAATGTGCCATTTTCAATCTCCCAATGTCTCTTTTAGGGGAATTCAGACTGGTTCTCATAATTTCTAAGAGGAAGGAAAGGAGGCAATGGGGATCATCATTACAAAATTGTACTTGTTCATACAAATTTGCTTTTCTTTTTTTCATGTTATAAGATATAACAAATGACCTCAGAACAAAGTTTGCAATATAGAAAAAAAAGGTCAAATTGCACAAAATTTTGTGTACTTTTTGCTGTTGTGCCTCTGTGCTCTTTATCCATTTGTCCAGCACTAAAAGCCAGCAAAAGAAATTCACAATAAACGGTTTCAAACAAATTTTCTCTTTGCTGAATTGTGACAATAGTTTAAAGCAACTGTTTTTTCCCCGTTTGTCCTTGTGTGACAGGTGCGTGTTCTTCACAGGCCAGATTGAGAGGGTGTCGTCGCCTGTGACCCTTCGTGACACCAAGGACAGACCAGTACATATCGGTATTAATAAGGAGGCTGTGTTCATCATCGACATCGCTAAGCAGGTAAAACATACATGTAACTTGATTGATGAATGTAAGTCTTTTGGATGACACGGGGGAAACCTTCACTGTTTACTCAAGAGTGACATTTTCCTGTAGTGAAGATATTTGAGCACTTATTCCCATGTTTTCAGTTTTGCTGATTTTTGCTGAGTCAAATTTACGATTCATATATTGGATCTTTAGCCTCAATAGGCTCTCACCAAAACCAAAAGCATGCCAGTTGTTGTAGGAGAAGTCAGTACCTGTTAGTTTCTTGTAAAAGCAAAATTTTCATTGGTTCTCATCGTTTTTGAATTATTTTTTATGCCTTGTTCTTTGTTTGAATATTTGAAAAACAAGTTGCTGCTTATTTCTGTTGTACATGTACAACCACACACCCGGCTTGCATTGCAGATTGAAAAAACGAAAAAGTACAATACAAAGCTGTGAACCTTGTGTTGAAATGATCAAAGCAACCTTGTATCGGCTGGACAACAGCCGTCAACTACTTCGCTGGATCACAAGAGTTTAGCGTTTTGCTGCTTGCAGGACATCATTCTGGGCTTGACCTATGACGAGTTGTCCTGGGAGTATACCGAACCGGCTAGGGACAATCCTGGCTGCATGCCGTGCCTGTGGTTAGAGTTTGATTCGGAAGAAGGCGGGAAGAGATGTAGCAAAGTACTCCAAATATTCTCCAGACAGGTCGGTCTGCTGCAACCTACTTTAAGTCTTTCCATCTTGCCAAACAGAAGCAAGAAATTTCTGATTAGACACAAGAGTCCAAGTTTTGACAAATGAGAGCACTCTTGAATTTTATACTTCTGTGGCAGTGTAAATGTGTGGAATGTAATAAAAACTGGGATATTACTGAAATTTCATAAGATGAAGGTTTTTGGAAGCACTGTGTGAATCTCTTCTGTGAGTGAGTGGACTTAAGTTCTTTTCAGAACCCCAGTCTCTAAGGAGATTCTTAATGTACTACTGCAAACTTTGTCTTATTGCTACATCCACCCATTTGCTTTAACTCCCTCATCCCGGGAACTGGCGACAGCGCGGCTTTGTGTGAGGATTAGTGCATACCACACATACATTCTATTCATCATGCAGCTGCGGTTTCGATGTGGGCCTGCTGCTGGACAGAGCCTTGCATACTGGGCATACCGCAGCCCAGCAATCCCGGCGTGAAAGGATGAACTGAACGATGCATCAATCTCATTACTATTCCTGAAGCCTTATGTTCTTCACAATGAAAGTAGATATATCACAGGAGTAAGAATTTTTACACTTGCTAAGAAAAGTAGTCCCGGCACTGTACAGTCCATTGGTATTGAACTTGAAAGGAAATCTTTTGCAGGCTCACTGTACGCTGCTGTTGAAGCCGTGTGCCACTGCGCCCGCAATCCACATCTTAATCTCCCACGTGTCCCCTCCTCATAGCAGCTCACACAGTGCCCAAACCTGTTCCTGCATGAAGATAGTGACCTAACTCTTGCTGGTGTCTCGTAACAGGCGGTGATGATGAATGCAATGATCGAAGCAAGCGTAGAGGAACTCAACAAGCTGGACTTGGAGGGAAAGCACAGAAGCAAGACGGTCATGGACGGTCTGATGAGGTGACCACACACTGGATTCATTTTTCTCCCAACTTGTGTACTTCATGCCAAACTAATGAATTGACCACCCATGATGTCATTTAAGATACACCTACCTAAACATCCCTCAGCTAATAAACAACCAAGCCCAGTGGGTGCTAACTAATCTACCTTCGTGAAATGACTTTGCTCCCAGTACATGTAATTGTAGAAGCCATATGCCAGGTACCCTACAGAGAAATTGGCAGCAGCTGGTCATTTTGTATAGTAGTTGGCACTGTGTCTCCATCATTGCTGGTGGCTTCCTGATTATCAGATACTTGGTCCTGGATTCGCTTAGAAAGTGCTTAACAAAAATTTGACAGGAGGCAGTTCACTGGTACTATGCACTTGTCATGATACAATTTGCTCATGTACCATGGATAATCTGTTTGGCAGACATTTCCCTGAAGCAGTTCTGTACAGCCAGGCGTTTCCATTCTCTCCCCCCCTCCCACACACACACACACACTTACATGTACCTTGTTACATATGAGTACTGTACATGAGTAATTCTCAAACTGTTAATCACATGGAAGAATGCAAATTTAGTCGGGTGCTTAACTTCTTTTTGTAACACCTGCGCTTGTACCATGCTATGTCTGTCTTGTGCCAGATATCTCAAGTGCATGATGCTGGCTTGACAGTTGCTCTAACAGCTGTTATTTTCTGTCTTAAATCAGTTTAATTTCTCAATCAATTCTGCTGTTTAACCGTCTAATAAAGTCTGCCTTTGTCATATGTCCTTTGAAACATTAATTGTCAGTAACCAGCTGAAGAATTGCCGGCCTTACTGCTGAGAAGACTTTGTAAATAGAGTGTATATCTTTTAACCACTAGATGCTGTCTGGTAAAGCGTACAAGGACAGATATACATGTAATATGCACTGACGTCTAGACCTTTCAACCCAAATTAGACCAGTCTTGAAGTTGATTAGCAGTTTTTTTTGTGTGTGTGGGGAACAGTGAATTCTGATGGAAGCTACATGTAGATCTGAATCTAACGCTTAGAATGGTAGGGCATTGGGATGGGGAATATTGCAGGTCTAAATTCTGCCTTACTCAATTCACTTTGTTCCACCCAGACATGACTGTTATTGTAAAACTGAAATGGCATAAATGTTTAATGCTAGTCCTTACGGGTTCTAAGTTATTCAATTATTGATTACCTGTATTTGGCTATCCGGCAGTCCTACACAAAGTTACTGCTCAATTTCCTTTTCAACTGTCTACCGATATCTCTTGCTTAAACCTCACTTTTCCCATGCTCTTCGGTGTTTGTCTCGTTCCTTTAGCGTTTCTGAGAATCAGGAAAATGGAGTTGACATGGTGGATGCCTGCATTTCATTCACCAGGTAGATGCGGGTGCCAGTTGTCATGTTTATTGCACTGCCATTGTATGGTTTGCACCTCAGAGCCCAAGTATGCATATACCAGGCAAGATATGGGACGGAGGGGTACCTCCCCTTACCTGTCCAATCCCTCGACACACTCTAGAGTATTGTTACCTAACACATCCCCCCCCTAGAAGTCTATAAAGAATTCCTGAGATTCTAATCAAACAATGACCAACACAAAGGCGGGGGGCGGGGTTTCACTGTGTCCCATATCTTGCTTCAAATGAATGAGTATGCATAGATACCCCTATGTGAGAATCCTTGTCAGCTAAGTCTGTCTGCATGACTATATTTAAGCTGTGACACCTGCTTGCATGCAACAATTAGTGCTTATTGTAAGATTGGTTCAAGCCTGCTGTTGTTTCCTTTAGGTGATTACTTACTCCTACTGGTAAACTCCAGCTGAAAATTGTCTCAGAATGTCATACTGTGTTGCATGTACATTGTTGAAGCGTGGCATGGGCATGGGTTTTTGTGTGTTAAGTACTGTTGTGGTTAAAATTCCAAAATTAAAAAAGGAACCAAAGTAACCATTAGAGAAATCCTTTCATTTGAAGTTCATCATGCAAGTGCGTTTGTAATTCCAGCCAGCTGAGTACTCCGAGCTACATTGTATGGTACATGTACAGTATGTGTAGAACATCTTACAGGTCTGTTGTATGTAGACCAGAAAAGAAGAGGCATTCTGTAGAAAACATATGGAAGGAAATGGCGCTAGCACAGTGGAGAGACAACAGGCTAAAAGTCCTGAAATGCGAGATCTTGGTTACTTGAGATATAGTTTTTAACTTGGGAGAAATGAAATCGTCCACTTAGATACACCCCAACCCAAGCACAAGATTACCATGCACTCACTGTGACTCACTGGAGTTAACCAGTGTTGAGCAAATACTGGTACGTGAGATCTTGTGAATTGCCTTGGCCTTTACTGCCCTCATGAGGACACAGTTGTCTTGTGCTTGGGGGACTCATTTTTGCCTGTTGGCAGGCCCTCTTGTCAAGAGTCAGCAAAATCACATCAAAGATTTGGGAATCATCTTACAATTTTTTGTATTATTTGTGAAATGAGGGCCTGGATCTCAACATAGACCAGAGTTGATATAAAGCAGAAAATATTGGGTTTACCACTTAAATATTTTCCAAATCAGAAGCACAAACTGGAGCAAAATGCACACATTTGAATGACTTACTACATTTATTGTCTCTCTGTTTTTTTCTGTTGTATGATGGATTGGTATCATGCATACAATTCTTTTGCCCTTTAAGCAGACTCAAAAGTGGCATCAGACCTGAACTAGATTTGTGGTTTGAATTAGACTGTCAAATATCATCCTGAGATGAGTTTGTAACTCATGGATCGGCGACTGTACATGTACATTCATCCACTGTAGTTTCATTTTGCACACTGTCACACACCTCGTGATTCTCATCTTTTTGCATGATTAATGAACACTAATCCAAACTTATGAATCTAATGAAGTTATTGTTTCATTGAAAACAAAATAATCGTTGTGTCGGTGCAACAGGGTCGTAACTTGCACTTGTTTTGTACACGAGATACGACCTTGTTGCACGGACATTATGAAATTCTGCTTGTGTTGTCAACACCGATCATATGTAATTTTTTTTATTGAAAGTGAGAACATCAAGAACGTCATTGTAGAGAATTACTGATGGCCCAAACTGATCGAAATACTAGTCTGAAAATAATAATTAGTATCATGTTTGTATTTTACTTGGATAGTGTTGAGGCAAAGTTACATTTTCAGAGTTCCTGAGGACAGTTTAATTCCTAGGCCATTTGATAGGAATCAAGTGATGGTGATGATGACTACTCTTAATGACTAGGAATATGAATGTTGCAAGCTGACCATTGCCTTTTCAAAGACTTCTTCACTCTGACAATGACGTGTAGTCCACTTGCTCAGTTTCCTTCCCATAGCTGAATAAAGTAGACCTTACAGCTTTGTTCCTCAGACTCAATTTCTGTTTTGCCACCTCAAATATCACCATACTTGTGAAAAACAGAAAAGGACCGAGCTACAGCATTGCACATGCAGCATTTTATTTTCAGCAAATAAGTAAAAGAAAATTATCCATTTTCATTGAAGTATTTAATTTAATGTTTAATTTTTTTATGTTTCAGAGTTGCTATGGAGGCATCAGCACCAGGTGAGGATAACTTCTGGCACCAACTTTTTGTGTGCAGTGTAATTTCAGATTTGAGTACAGCACAAAGTGCACTTTGTTAAAATGTGAACAAAGATCTGAGTGCAGAACTTAAATATAGATGCCAACAGAGCTCTGTTCATTTTGTTTTGATAAACATGCTTCTGTACTAATCTGTCTGGAACATACGCATGAAAAGGCTTCCTCTCTTAGAAGCTGAGGGGTTTTATGCTTGTTTGTCTGTTTTTCCACAGTGTTTGGAATTCTGCCAGTGAAAGCCCCCAAGACAGCCGTCAGCAATAAGATGGATCGCTTATGTCTCTCTACATTCTCAGAAAAGGGTGAGAGAAAGTTTGATTGAAGTTCGGCAGGCTTTTCCAAGAGTAAAGCCTGGGTCGTACTTGGCACAAATATGCATCACATTGCATTATTAGGTCTGATGTTCACACTGCAACTTTGCAAAGTTGATCACGTTTCAACTTGAGCAAATTCTGCCGCAATCATTTCATGCCCCAAAATTTGCTTTGCTTTTGAAGTTGTCTGAATTATGAACCACTTTAAACCAGACAATAGTGTTAACTTTGAAGAAATTGGAAATGTGTTACCTTGCACAATTATTTCAAATTTTCTGCCATTACAAGTTTTTCAAAAAAGAGTCTTGATGGATTTTTGTTCATTCTCCATACAGATTTTGACACAGTTTAATCACATTTGAATAAGTTGCTCTCATGAAATGTCCAAATTTGGGGATGCAGGCTTCCGTACATGATAACTTTTTTCATTGGCCATGCACAGTAAATGACCATTTTGGGATTACCGTGTGAATTCTTAACAATGGTGATTACAAAACCCATTTTTTGCTGAGATGCAAACTTGGAAGATTTGTGTGGATATGATTTGATTTTTTTATTCCAATGAGGACACCATATAGACAAACAAAAAATAAAAGAACGAAACCCCACTCATTGCTTAGAAAAATCTTACAAGTTAAGACAAAAGTAGTCCTTAAGTTTTTTGTGTAGTGTATATCAGAAAAGTGTTTCAGAAATTGAGACTGAATATCATAATGTACCGATAGGACCTACATGTTCCGGTACATACACATGAGACTTATACATGTAATACAACATGGAGGGTTCCCAGCTAACCTGGAAATCAGGGATGAAGTGGAAAATGGCTTCCCCTTTTTCCAGTCAGGTACTTGTAAAAGTCAGGGAATTTGAGAAAAGTCCCTCAAATCAGGGAAACATCAGGGAAATTTGTTTGTCCAGTGGTCAGACTTTCTCACCTCGTGTCCATACCAAACAGCAAATCCTCTTGATGATTGCATGGCTATGGTTGCTTTGTGGTATAGCTTAGTGTACATGTGGTAAATGCCTCTTTCTCTCTGTATCAATGTGGCTGTGGTGCACCTATGTACAACCTTACAATCTGTAACACGAACACCTGTAATGCACACTATCAGACCATAAAGCCAAAATGATGATCGTGGAATTGTTAACCTCTCTCAGGGAAAAGTCTGGGAATTTTGTTCTCACGAATTGCTGGGAACCCTGACATGTAGCAAGACCTTTCATAACAGGTAATCTTTGTTGTCTCTGATACTTTGGTTTTCTCATGCTGTTATTTCTGGGATCTTTTCGCCTTCTAGGTGAGCTGATCAGTAGGAAGGCCAGGGGGGCTCGACGGCCCTTTTCTCTAACCAACTTCTTCCGTACTTCCGATCAGAGATGAGATTCGGCATAAACTCTTCCAGTCAGTAAAACTGATTTGCCTTAAGTAAGCCACTCAGCAAGTACATGTAAATGGTAAATCATCTATAAACAAAAGAATTGTTTTGTACCAATTGTAAATTTTGTTGTGAAAAGACATTTATCTTGGAAAGTGAATTTCCTGGCGAGATGGTTAGTAAAAGTAAATTGCTTACCTGCATTAACAACTGCATTCAACTCTGAATATGCTTGTACATATTTTTTAGTCATGTAACTTTAAACTCCAGTTTAACATTGTAGATTGCCTCATGCCACCAGTACATTATTCACCTAAAAATGAGACTTTTGGATAATGAGTTTTCAACTTGATATCAGGGTATTCTAAATGTTTCCCAGGAGGTTGGTAACATGGGCAGTGGCAGGGGTAGCACTTGACCTACCCCTACCCTAACCCCCCCCCACTAAAAACATTGTGAAATAAACAAGGGAGGAAACGGCAAAAAAAAAAAATGTTGGAAATCACCAATTAGCTTAAAAATACCTGAAAACTGACCCCATCCACTGATCATGATTTGTCCATTTGTTGGCTGATGATTGCTTTGTGCTCCTCCCCCCACCCCTACCCTGGATAAAATCCTAGCAATATCCATGGTCGGTAATCCTTTGAGTACCTTAACATTTCCCTGTTTCTCAGAACAAAAACCTTGGTGGAAGGGATAAGCAAATAAGGGGCTTTCTTTAGTCCGGGGAAACTCATTTTCTATTTTTGCCTTATACACTTCACTTCTTTTGAATGTTTTGTAAAAAAATTAAATGAGTACACGGCATACTAAGTGCATATGTGAATGAATGATAGCTTAAAAGCAAAAGTCCAACTATTTGTATCATAGCAATAATGCATTGCTTCGGCAAATTCTGTGCATAATTTATTATCAGGTGATCAAATGGATTCTCTTTTTTGGTAGGAGTGAGTTTCCTGCCTCAAATCTTTGATAAGTATAAATTAAGCCAGTATATCTTAATCTGGGTGTCAATTGAAAACAGTGTACTTACTTGCACTATAAAATTAGTACATTCATGAAAACCTTGGGCAAATCGATTAATACAGTTTGCAAAAGGAAATGTACGTGATATAAATGCAAAGACAAAATCTGCTAAGTGCTGATGGATATGAGTAATTTAGGAATATGACAAATGATCAGTAAAAAGTCTAGATAAATTAAGTTAATATCTTCCATGAAGTACGTTGGACGAGATTTTATATACATAACTGATGTTCAGTACATCCAAGCAAAACAATGCTTTGAGAAATAACATACCAGATTTTCATCAAGTTCTGTGCACTGCTTAGCATAAGTAATCCTGACCAATACTTAGTGGTGGGCTTAGAAAGCAATAGGACTAATTTGCTTATTACACTACAGCAGACGGTGGAAATTTATGAATGGTTTCACCGTCAAGTTGCCGAATATCAGCTAACCAAAAGGCGTTTATGAATAAGTGAATGGTAGCACACTCATGAAGACATGCTGAATAGGTCAGTTTCTGATTTGGAAGTTTGAAACTTGCAGGGCAAGATCAGTGATACGGTCAGAGAAGTGTTTCCTGAGTTCTATTATCTGTATGTAAACTCCTATTTTAAACATACTTGTACTAGTGTCATGTTTTCCTTAGCGAGTGTTTTAATACTGCTGATAATGAAGCTGTATGGTAATAGAAGTGAGGTTGCATCAGGAACATCTTTAGGATCTTGAAGTGTGATATAACCAGCTTTTCTGTTTTCAACACTGCCATTTTACTTTAGGTTAACGTTGCCATTGAAAGATAGTTTTTGAGTGCAATTTTAGTTTCCTTTTATCAACAGATATGTTTCTTGGCATAAGTCGGATGCAGCTTTTAAAAAGTCACTGCAGGCCTAGATCAGAATAGATCTACAGTGCTCAAGTTGCTCATCAGAGCTTAATATCCAAAAATTGATAGACTTTTCAGTTTCAAAAGCAAAAAATCACTTGATTGTGATACATAAATTTCTGTACTCACAACTACAAGTAAATCCAATTCTCAGTTACAACTCTCCAGTACTATTGTCTTAAAATTGCTTCCTGAATCCTGAGGCTAAATGCTAAATGTGTAAATCTCAAGCAGCTGTTGACTGAAGCATTTTGTTGGCACACTTTTTGGGGGGGCTGGAGATTGGGTGTAGTAGAAATGACATCATGTTAAGTCTTCAGTAAGGGGATGGGTGATCACAGGGTCTAACAGTCTCTTAAAGAGTATGTCTAAGGAAAACATTTTTTCACTGATTTTATCTGTTCAAATAAATATGGAAGCGTCCAAATCGAACGCAGTGCCATTCGTCTTCAGAGCTCAACTATAACAAGCGAAAAAGTTTTTTTTTTTCTGTTCATGCCAAGATGCGAATTCTGAGTGTAGATTGTGTCATTCGGAGAACACAAGGGGAACCGTCACCCTGTGTTTGTCGTGGATAAACCTTGTGCATGCCAAACAATGCATGTAGCCATGGTTTAGTATTGTTTATTATTAATATTCCATATATTGAACAGATAATAATTATCAGAAAAAGCGTGTTTTCCTTAGAGGTGATCTTAAAAGAGTGTGTTTGATGCTTTGATCTAAGCAGTCCATGAAGGTGCAGAGCCCGACACATCAGGCCTAACAAATGTACCATGGCATCTCCCACAGTTGGCAATGGTGCCAGCCATAGATGCGTTGGTGGATGTGAAGAACTATTTCCTTTCCAGAAGTGGACAGGTCAGTTTGTAACAACTCTAACCTTTCTAAATTTAGCAATATCAGTCATGAAACTGAATTTGTAGAAATTATCACGCTCGTTAATCATCTAACATCAATGTAAACTTGGAATTCTAAAAATGTCACGGGAAATTGAAATACTGGTCGTCATCATCAGAGTTTTTGAATAAATGTTCAATTTGTACTGTGAAATAGACAACCTCCAGTTAACTGCAAATTAAACTATGGAAGCCCTTTCTGCAAATGAAGCTGTTTTTGTGGAGTTGAGTTGTATCTTTTTTGGGAAGAGAAACTTCGGAAGTGTTTTTTGTGTTGTGTCACGCTGCCTTATTCAAAACCTGAATTAGTAATTTTTCATTCTCGGCCTGCAATCCTGCTTAAGATTTCAAGCATGTGTGGAATGCAATAGGTGTGGTTTTGTGAAAGTCATACACATTGTTGCATGCATCGTTGCTATAGAGCTCTCTCATTGGATGCCATCTTTGTAGGAATACTGCAACTGCGTACAAAATGCCGACAGGTGCGTGTGTGCGCTGTGTGCTAAAATGTTCTTAAGTCACGAGCGTACTGATCCAAATAATTATGTTTGAAATACGGCACAGGCGATGTGCGTCACAAAAATTGGAGTAAAAAATGCCGGTGCTCAAAGGCAGTGACGTCATTTGAAAGAGACCCATACTGAAAGCAATCGGCGGTGCCATGTTGAAGGGCACTGCTGATAAATTTCAAGAAGACTGTAGCAAACAATGCAGAATGTGTGTAGTGGGCGGACTCTTTTGTAAAACCTCTGAGCTTAAAACAGTAAGAGTCGTTATTATCCAGTGGATAAGCTGAATGTTCCCAAGGTGTCTTGTGCAAGTACAAGAGCATGAGGAATCTATCCCAAATAGAACAGTTGTTGACTCCCACTTTACTTTGGTATCAGTGCACTGCACCCAGGAGTGGGTTGTTGCGCAGTATCTGGCCAACAGCAGAGGACCTAGGATTACATTTGTTGATTGCTTCAACATTTCAATCCCGCAAACTTTTTGTCTTCTTAAAACCGATCCAACTTGACACCATATGATGCACCCTAAGCTATGAACATACCATGGGAGCCAGTTTAATTCCGAATACTGTACATCTTAAATGATTTATTAATGTCTATGCTCATTTTGAATAAAAAGTACATGTATATAGCGCAAATAAAATTAACAAAGTGACATTTAAAAAGTTGTTAAATGTAAATGAGAACTCAGTAAACTGCTTAGATATACATGTATATGACATTCTTTTCTTAGTTCCAATTTTGAATTTTTTTTATTATACATAACCTTTTTCGAAGATATTTTCAAAATGTGCTACATTTTGCAAAAGCACATTTGTAATGTACTTTAATTTGGTAAGTAGTAAAATGCAAAAATTAAATCAACAGCAGTTTACACGGAATCACTTCCAATTACTTTGTGGTAGAAGCAGTAATACACATGTATACTGCAAAACATTTTTCCACTTTATCACTTGAAGTATTTGGAAAGTATTCTTGAAAAGTTTTAAGTTGATCAAAATCTACTGGCACACAGAAATAACTGTTTTCATGCAGAAACATATCATACAATTATATAAAACGGTCACATAAAGGTCACTTCTTTTCATGAGAATTTAGAAATAAAAATAAACATTTCAAATGCTGTGATTCAAAACATAAAAAGGCTATTTCATTATTGTCTTTGGCAAGAATGAAATAAATGGCACCTTGTCAAGAGCACTTTATTACCAGGTGCAATTGAGATTCTCAGACAACATTACTTCAAAGTTGCAAATAAACAAAATGAACAAACTCATTTCACAGGTGAATCAAAGTTCAATACTGTAGTCTGTCCCGTTTCCTTGTGTAGTAGGACTCAGGTGGTGGTGGGGGGGGGAACTCACAGGAAAGTTAATTTCTATCATGTTCCCTGAACCTATGTTATTCAATGCTATGTGTTACAGGAGATGGTGCCAGACTATGTTCCGTTCATTTCTTAAAATGAGGCTTGAAACATCTAGATATATATGAATAATCACAAATTTCAAATTATTTATCAGCATAAATGATACGTGAAATAAACTGTTACTTTATTGGTTTTTATTTTTATGTTCATGCTCAAGTTCCCAACATAAAGTTTACCAGACTTTCAAATTAATATAGCCAACCTTTGAATAAGGCTAATTTCAGAGAACTGCTAACTGCAGAAATTCACTGAGCAAAGGAACGTTTGTCAAGCAAAGTCAGGTTGCCGGCCAAAAATGCCATGGTACATGTATGTTTATTGCTTGTGGCTGATGCTCTTCAAATGTTTACTTAGGACACAATTTTGCTAAGTAGGATTTCCTGCTATTAAGTTGGGTGCTGAGGCCCAGCAGGACAGATTAGGGTGTACTTTCTTGGCACAGCTACATGTAAACAGTTAGCAGAAAAGTTGTGTTTACTATATAGCAGAAAATTTTGCAACCTTAAGCACTATTTCATGGTGTGGTTGTGCTAGCGGTCACGTGCCTATCGAGATTTGCAAATTTTTCCTCTCTAGGTAAGCACACCCTTTGCTGTGCTTACTGCTTATGGTCTCCATGAAATCTGCGGAGCCTCTGTTTAAAAGTGTTTAACGGCGTAAAATGATGTGCTTAGCAGCACCATGAAATGGAGCCCTGATTTTGTCATGACAGATAGCAAAGATTGCTGTCAAGCTTTCACAAACTGTCCTGCCACTGGACAAGAGGAAACGTATGTGGATGGAGTTGCTGGCCGTTCCAAGGACAGTCTTTATGTACTGTCCGACTGCAAAAACTCTCTTTATTGGGCATTGCCTCACCACAATCCCTCAAGATGCAACGGGAGGCAGCTCTGTAAGCTGGGGCACCGTGGATGCAAGGGTGCCCAACCCCACAGTTTCTTGACATTTGATGCTGCCAGTCTGGGAAGACAATGGGGAGGAGGGGGGCTTTCCAGAGTTCCCAATTACATCTTCCTGAGTGTTGGATGCCCAGGGTGCAGCCAGGACCTTTGTCTTGTGGGTCACGGTCGTCAGCTTGGGAGGTGATGTTGGATGGAGACAGTCCCACACAAAGGTCCCATGTCTCTGTTATCAGATGAGAAGGAAAACGGCATTTTAACAGATTGCTCTGGACACCTTAATGCTCAGTACATGTAATTCAAACATTGTTTTGGAAAGTGAATCCTGAATGCGTTAACCATTTCTTGCTGGGTGCTTTTAAAAATTGTGGAGCAAAACTTTCAAAAATTCTTATTTTTTTTCCTGAACGCCTAAACCTCATGGAATTACTGTATGGTGGTTACTCTAATCTGACAGACATCTATTAATGCCAGAGTATTTCAGCCAGGCCTGTGCCTTGTAAAAAGAGACCAGATTGTGTGCTGTTACATAAGTTTCTTTTGTTCACGAACGTGGCACAGTGGCTACTGGTGTCTTTTCAATAGGGGCCAGGTTAGCATGGAGCGCTTTTGTCCCCAGTGGTAATCCGCTCATGCTGAATGCCACAAACAGTGATATAATCTTCCAAAACATTGACGGATATCCTTCGCTATTGAAAACTCAAAAATGTTGGCAATTCCCAGCAGCTCTGTCTTTTGTTCCAAGTATGGTCTTTTGTTACAAAGCCCACAGCTCTTTTGTCCGATTTCGGGCACCCAGCTATGCATACGAACCCAAGGTACCTGAAACTGGGCTCCCCGGCAGGATATGGTTAAGTCATTCCAATTCATTTATCAGAAACAATTCCTATGGCTCATTTAGCTTGTAAGGTACAAGCCCTTGTGGGGAGCAATACAGGCTTAGTACAGTAAAGAGGCACATAAAATTTGAGGCTTCGTCAGTGGTTTCGGTATGGAAGTCAACTTGATTAGAAAGTTGTAAGGACAGTTGTAATTGCTATTTTCATGTAGGAACGACTGTTTTCTACTCAACTGTTTCTCATACTTTTGAAAGTGTTGTATATGATATTGATGTCACTCTTTGTGTAAGACTTTGATGTTGCTGTCATCATAGGGATAACCGAGGAGGAACCTTACCTTTCCTCTGATTGGATGGCTAGGGTTTGTCCTGCTGTTATACTGGTGGTCATAAGAGATGTGTTCGACCAATAAGCGAGGACCTCTCTGCGATTGCAGGCTTGTTACTGGGACTGCAAGGAAAACAAAAGTTTCATAAGGTAGTGTACTTTAACTTTTGAAGATGTTTTGTGTAATTTAAGCCAAAAAGAAAAGGATTTAGAAACAAACCTTCAGACATATCAAAAGGTTCTATTGCAATCACTTTAGAGCTACAGGCAAAAAGTAGCACATCTAGGTCTTGGGTTGGTCTTGATTTTTTTTTTAAATGAGGCCATTTCCTCAACCCCCTCTTCCCCCATGGTAGTGCTGTTTTTATATGCTGGTGCTTCCAGTTCCCAAGAAAAAAAGGCAACATGTCTCCATGGGGAAAACGTCCCCCTTCCCACACCCCCCTGCAATGGATATGGCACTGATTTTTTTTTTCATACATGTATCCAGGCTCTGGAGTTTCATTTTAGGACCACGGCCAGAGCTCTCTTTTTAGTTAGCCCTTGGCAAAGTTACTGTGATTGGACAGTGGACAAGATGGCATTAGAAGTACATTTGTTTGCAAAAATGTGAACTTTAGAGTTACCCACAAGCACAATAAGTTTCCCCCCCCCCCAAAAAAAGTTGCCATTAAGAATTTTCTTTAAATGAAAGTACCAGCCTTCTATATATGGCACTGCCATTTTTCTTTGGAGAAAGTGAGGATTCACATACGTTTAAAAACTTTGGACAGTTATTTTTGGAACAAAATTTACATTTTACCCCTTCCCCAGACCCAAAAATGCCACTGCAAGTGTGACCTTGGGGGCAAAGGCCCTAAACACAAATGCACATTTTCTTCTGGTATGGACTGCACACATATCTTGTCATATTCCTCCAGGACTTACCAATGCCTGTGGCGGCATGACTGCCTGGGTTACTCCCATGCCTCGTCTGTCCCTGCTGTGGCTTCTCCGGTTTGCGGAGCTCATCCCGATTGGTGGAGTTGTAGCTGTACTTGGGCACTGACCGCTCTACAGTCTCCTCCCCGCTGCCTGCCCGCCACTTCCACCACATGTTACTCTCGGTGTCGGGGCTGGCTGCCTTGGGTCGCGGCTTGACGTCACAGATGGGCTCGTGGAGCAGACGACAGTCTTGCAAGAGGAACCCCACCTGGGAGGGGTGAGGGTTGTGCTGACGGGTGGGGGACCGGGGATGGGGCTCGGCCAGCTTGAATTTGCCACCAGCCGGGACATTGCTGTGGATTGTGCTGTAGTGGCTTTGAGCGGATGGGAGATTTTCTTCGTAGTTGCCAAAAACACGTTTTGTGTCTGGACTGCAATAAACAATACAGCATATTAAGAGAGACTGTTCATTTGCACTAAAGAAATACATGTTCTGAATGTATGAATGCATTCAATCAAAACTTTTGCAAGATTGTAAAATTAACAAATGACACTTTTCAATCACCTGCCTAAGGATTTATATTATTACACATTCTCATTTATTTTTTAAGCTCATATATTTTTCAGCTAATATCCTTCGCATGTGGAATATTTCAATCACAAAGAAAAGGGACTTTCCATAAACTGAAAATATGCAAAACTATTCAATGCAGAAGTTAAGTTAAAACAGTTGACTGGTACTCTCTGCTAGCGTTGATCGTGCATACATGTACATGCAAGTTAACGATTTACGTCCTTAAAGTTCATTAGACTTAGGCATAAATGTACTTCAAGAACTCTAAGTCACTACTCCATCATACTCCATGTATGACGGTTATGGTTGAGTATAACAGAGTAGTGACTTAGAGTTCTCAAAGTAGCCTAAATCGTGAAATAATTTCTTGACAAAAGGTAAAATTCTCACTGCATCATACTGCCCAGTACAAACACCCTTGGGGGGGTTAAACATTACACATTCACTGACATTACATGTGGTGTACATAGAATTTAATTTGAATTAAACTTGAAAATGTACACCCCCAACTAAAAAATTAAATCTTCTTTCCCTGTTACGTTAGGCCTACATGTACATCATGTAAGTGTTAGGCCTAATCAAGATTTGAACAAATCATAACATGTACCACTGTCATAAGGCCAATTAAAATTAATTCCATGTTTATAATCACCGCCCAACCGGATTTTCCCTACCGCCCCGACTTTTTTTGATAGTTCCAAGTTTTTAACAAATCTCTGGCCCTTTTAAAGAGAGGCACAACGAACGGAGAGTTAAATGGCTCGAGCACTGCAAACCAACCGTTCCCCATAGTCCATACACCTACCAAGATTTCTGCATCCCTCCTCGCTTTTTGGTTGCCAAAGGAGGCATATAAAGAGTCATGCTGATGGTTTCGGGTAACTCAGTGTTAAGCTGTTTTTTGCAGACTGGAGACTGTGATCTTTACTTCCGTGAACAAATGACGATGTAGACCTAACTACCCCACTCAACCTGTATTAATGCTAAAGCAAAGTTCTATTTTGTACGTTGTGACGGACCGTAACTAACGTACACAACTTTGCATCATTCGAAAGCTGCTATCGTTGCTACAGGGCCACTAGCCTTGGTTCAAGATGCCATTAGTACTTGAGGGCGCCCTCTTACGACTGATTCACTTGTCTCTCGCGGGCCGGCGTATTTTCTATTTATACCGTAGCCTAGCGTTTTTCGCTCTGGTAGTGCTAGTTCGCGCTTGAAAAGAGACTAATGCTGACTGAACCAAGTCAAAGCGAGCACGCGAAAACACGAAACGATGGTGCCTGTACTACAACAAATAATTTTTTTTTATTTAGTTCCGAAAGTTGACACTTCAGAGGTGATGGACAGATGGATTGTAACAGTATTGGGATGATTCCTCTTCCTCTGATGGCCAAGTTATTTCTTTGGTGTGTGTTGGTGAAAAAAGTAGAATTTTAATCACCACCGTGATCGCTGGCCTGATGAGCTAGGATAGCCAAGCTCACGCAATGTTTTTTAGCATTACTATTTTTTCGGGGCGAGGGGGATAAAATACAAATGCGATGTGACAAACGTTATGAACAATTTAGGTGGGTCACTAATGAGGGTTGTTTTGAAGCGGATTGAGATTTCCACCCTTTTTGTCTCTCTTATTTCATTTTTTGTATCTTTTCCGTTATATAAAGTTTTTAGTGACATGCATTGAAACCCTTTAGACTGTCTTTAACGATTAAATATTATGTCATGTTTCCGCCCCACGTTAAACCCCATGCGCTCGTGTGTACGTACTCAGCATTAGTCTCTTTTCATGCGCGAATTGGCACCACCACAGAAAAAAAACCTAGGCTACGGTGTAAATAAAAAAATATAGGTGGTACCCTTCCTTTGAATTCACTTATGGCCATAAAGACGATACTCATCAAGCAAAAACAATCGGATCTGGATTTTTTTCCCCGACCACCTCACATATGGGATGCGGGCAGAATCAACCCCAAGGTCTTAGGTAGCTAGAGGTACTCCATAAAGGCTTGGATTCCGTGGAAGAACGTTCGTTATAAGTACATCAGTTTCAGTTGTTGTTATGGTCAGAAATAAATGGTGCTCTGACGCATATTGGCCCGCCCGCATTGAGCATATAAGTTGGCATTTCGCGCTAAATGGCATTTTCATGAGATTGCTGTCAAAATGGTTTTGAGGAATTAAGGAAAAAACTCATGAAGGTTCGGCGCTAGAATGCATTGTGGCATCTACAATATTGGGAAAAAAATGTCGGGGACGCGTTCGGCCCCCGGCTTTCTCAGGGTTAAAAGCGCTGCCCGAGCCACTCACTTGCTTTTTATTCCCCGGAAATTGTAAATATATCTTCAATTTTGCTGCTGGAAACGGGCAGTAAATTGAAAAGAAACACCAATAATTTGAAAATATATATATATAGGCCCTATAATTCAGTAACTAAGTAGTTTTCTGCGCATGAAATCATTTCGACACTCTAGTCGACTCTACAGCTGTGGGCAAACACCCTCGGTATGGCAGCTATTGGAGAGGGTTCACATGACCTTAATACTATACTTCCATCAAACGCACATACGTTCGACGGAGGGGCGTCTGTGAATCCAAGGGCAGCGACCTACAACATAAATCTCGTACTGCAGTCGCTTGCGTACTTTTTCACACAAAATGAAACCTAACAGCTGAGAATTGATTTTTCCTCTGAAGAGAGTCCTGCCCACGTTGACCTTGAATTACACAGACGTCGTTGGAAAATGAGTTCCTTTTCACCAGGTCAAACTAAGATGTCAACGAAAAGATAACTGTCAAACGTTGTGTAGTCTAATCAACGTCAAGTTCGTATAGGTTATCCTTTAATCTGCTACGTTGTATATGTTGAATTGCAGTGCATGTACTTAACAGTACAGATACGGTGAGCAAAACAGAACGCACGAAATTTGACATAATACTGATCGTTGCACTTGGCAACGACAGTTTCCACACACTTCAAACCTTGATTCGAAGTAAAGATAAAGAAAGGTGGAGAGATTATTGGGCCAGCTGTTTGCGTTTACAGAAAGGTGCAAAATGGCAAGACGCGTTGTAGTGGGCTCAGATTATTTAGAGCGAAATCGGGACGGTAGTTGGATTGCAAATTCAACATTGTGATGGTGAAAATCGATCATAAACCCAGGACGGTAACAATTGTCTGTTATCTTACTAGTGTTTTCAGACCCCAATTTTGTAAGTTTGCCCAACTGGGACCAAAATTCTATTTTGCAACGGGTACACAAATTTCTGGCAACATGCTCTGTGTTTTGGCATTGCTCCACTCAATAGGGGCAACACGTCAATGTCTACGTGAAAAGCGCGCCATGCACAATGAGATATATTATGGCCTTCTTTTTATCCCCCAAATTTAAATTTCTAATTTGTAGTAGGCGATAAAGATAGGTCCTGTTTGTTTGTAATCTCTGCGCCAGAGGTTGTCCAGCACAATGGTTTGTATGGTATTTTGGGTTTCAAATTGGCGTCCTTTCATTTAAGTGCTTCATAAGCACGCTTTAGATCTGTTGACCGGGTATCTTTCTATTTCAGGTTAAGGCATTTTGCACGCCATAAGGGACCATCTTTTGACAAGAGCTATATCAACAGTGCACCGGTTGATGGACCGTCAATGTGCTCTGGTACCGCGCGAACTCACGCCGCACCGACCCGACATTATTTTGTTAGTCCATCGCATAACGATTTTACGAAGCATCAAAATTGCGCCACCTGTCGGCTAGAAGGGCGTGAGCAGCAACTAATCGTTGATAACTACCCACTGTCTAGATGTGTTAGTGTTAGGCAGTTTTCGTACCTAGACCATTATTACATTGTGCACAGTGCATCGGGATATTCTGGTAACACCCTCTACGCACGCTTTGTCTGTCAGCTACGTGCACGCGTAAAATATCCCAGGACGGTCCATTACTGAAACAAGGTGTACTGTTTGCCGACTTCAGATTAATTAATCGATAAATCGAACTAAGGCTGGAAGCACAACGATTATGGACTATAACCAGCTTCTGGTAAACGGAGACAATTTCCACACTTTCAAAAGTAACACAAAGTCACAAGAACTGCACGCCCAGTTGACGTATGGAGCACGAATATCAGTGTCATTTCTCCCTCTACAACAAATGAATTTTGAATCAAACCTGTTCGCATAAACATTAACTTCTCCAACAGTAGGCCTATAATATTTGTAAACAAATTCTGACGGATAAAAGAAAATAAGTTAGAGTTGGTCTGTGACAGGTATGTAGGAAGGAACCTAACACTATTTAGAAAGCAATTGGGCAGTCAGTGGGTACTTGTATGCGTCACAGACTGGTTAGGGCAAAATTTCGGGCATCACCTGTCGAAATAGCCGCTGTTGTACTTCAACCGTGATGGAGATTTCAGATTTTATTAGCAGATGACGTGAACGTAATTGAAATTAGAGCAAAAAGGGTAGTTTTATATCATACAAGATATGACCGTATACTTGTGCATCCTTTGAATTGTTACACATAATAGGGTCCCTTCGGTAAAGAGTACAGGGTGGGGGATCGTGGTTATACGTCAGAGGTACCGGAATACACCGTACTAAAGTTATATTACGTAAACAGGATTTCCGTTCGCGTATGACAGTCTCACTCCCCAACTTTTCATCGATACCTGACTGTGTGCACAAATGCATTTTTCTACCCTAAACAAATTACCAAATTAATCAAAATTGGTATCAAGCTCTTTGTTGTTACCGTTTGGAAAATAATGTTAATTTACACAGTTATGCACCAACACGGACTGAAAGGAACCCGTGTATAAGTTACGTATTATAGGGTTAGATACTTGAAGTATAATTGTTCATATTTCTAGCCGTAATGGTGACTGTCTAAAATAGCGTTAACAACGATCTTAGTTGGATTCTGAAGAAAGGTCTTCTCAGCTTTATCCCAGTAAGTGATGAAGGTGTTAGGATAGTGCGATAAGCGATCACATGGATCACTCCTTCCAAAAGTGGCAGAAATCGACCCCAACATCTCTCTGGATTCAGTTGTTGCTTTTGTTTACTCTCGTACCAAGATCGGCAGAAGCACGCTTTATTGATGTCGTCAGTAAGACTGACATGGATGGTTGCATCGATTGCCATGTGTAGTTACCCAGCGGAAAATTGGGGGTGCAAGAGTTCCAAACTGATGGACTTTAATTTGTTCAACTACTACAAAGTACAGAGTGAAAATACTCAGACTCTAAACAGGGGACAGATTTGTTGGAATAGTACAAAGTTAACAGTATTTTGTGGCTTCAGTGTGCTTCCACAGTAATCTTTTGCGGGATTGAAGGTTTGCATCAAAACGGCTTAGAAATATAGGCTAAAGACTGCGAAGGTTTACTGTTATGCTAGGAAACAAAGTCCAGTAAAAGAAAAACAACCGTCCTGTAAAACATGTGTTTCAGTTTGTTTCATTTCTTAATTTTAATTTTAGGTCATTTTATTCAAACACAATCTGTATGATTTCTAGAATCACTCTGTGTTGTATGCATCAAGATGTGTACTGAGAACCATTTCACGCGAATTGTCCGAATTTAATATCCCTGTTATAGGCTAATGTACTTCTTTCAAGTTCAGACTTTTGCATGTAATCTTTATTCATTTCAGCTTCCGATTTCTCACACATGACGCCCTTCACCTGTAGAGGCTAACTGATACAGCGAGAACATCAAGCAAGAAATGTCACATCGAAAGCAAACTTTGTGCATTGGCAAGTGCTTCATTCGTCACACCTCTGTGCCTCATAAATACGTATCGAAAAGAAATGGTTAAAAGTAGCTGCACTTTTCCCGCCAAAGTTATTGATACCTCGGCTGTTTGACCCTCCCGTTGCACGGGATAACACGTTAAACACATACTTTCCGCTTGCCTTGATCATGGCAATAAGAATGATTGCACGTCTGTGGGAGAGCGAGCAAATATGCCTAGGGAGCACCAGCGCGTACAGGTGGTGTGAAGGCGACATGCCTTGCGCTACTTTTTGTTCAACATTTGCACTTAATC